GAGCTCTACGTCAGCTTCCAGGACCTCGGCTGGCTGGTAATTTCTGACTCTTTCTTCTTTCTTGAATGACAGTCCCCACCTGGAGATCGTGAGTGTATCTCCAGGAGGAGGTAGAATTATGGGGGCTTTTAGTTTTCTTAAGTATTACTTTCTTCTGTGTCTTCCGAGTTTTCCAAAGGAGAGCGTGTTGCTTTTATAGTGAAAAGTGATTTTTTTGTAAAACCATGAAAATGGAGGCTATCTGAATGCTCAGCCATTAATGTCAGAGCTGCGACAGGGAAACTGAGTCCAGGCTGGGCAGTGCCTCGGTGCCTTTGCTGCGGCCGCAGCTGCAGGAGGCGCGCGCGGTGGGCGGAGGCTGCGGAGGACGATGCCGAGCGCTGGTGGCGGGAAGGGGGCAGAGCTGGTTCCAGCCCTGTCTGCTGTGGGTCTTCGGGTGGGCGTCAGGCCTCTGGGGGAGACTGCCCGGGGAGGCGCCCGAGGGTGGGTTGTCGGGCCCTGAGGCGGAGGAAGGGGAAGGGACAGCCCTGAGTCGTCCTGTGACAGGCGCTGGACGGGGGGCTCGGGAGGGGCCCACGGATGGACTCACCTCCTGCCATTCTCACCCCCCAGGACTGGGTCATCGCCCCCCAAGGCTACTCAGCCTATTACTGTGAGGGGGAGTGCTCCTTCCCGCTGGACTCCTGCATGAACGCCACCAACCACGCCATCCTGCAGTCCCTGGTCAGTACCACGTCCGGCCGCCCGCCCGGACGCCTGGGGCGGCGTCTGCTGAGGAGAGGGGCCCCTCCAGCCCGGAGGTGAATGGGCACCCCGGCTGGTGCCAGGGAGCTTTCTCTGCGTGGGGTCTTCCTGCGGCACATGTGGTTGACCCCGCCCCTGTGCAGAGGCTGGTCCCTGTGTGGCCACTCTGCGCACAGAGTCCCTGCCCCTGGACGTGCATGCACCCCGTTTACACTGACTGGGGCGAACACATGTGCGTGCACTACACGTGCACGTGCGGGACAGTCATGTACACTGATGGGTTCCCGCACTGACAAAGGCACGCCTGCTTGTGTCGGACGCACAACACATACGTGACTGACGTGCACCCCACACGGGGGCCTGTGTGTGCTGAACACACCCGCACCCGTGTTCTCTGGCGTGTCCGCCCTCCTGTGACACACGTGCCCATGGGGTGATGACGAGCGTGTGCATTCACCCACCCTCTTCGTGGCGTGTCAGGGGGTCACCCTTCAGTCCCATAAACGGGTCCCTCTCAGCTCTGTGTGTTTTCCAGATTGTGTGGCTTCTGATGCCCCAGTGTCTGGGTGACTTTAAATGCTGAAGAGTCGTTTCTATGAGGCGCATCGTCCTGCTGCTTATTGCTAAGTGTTTATTGGTGTTTGCTGATTCTGGGGTTGACTTCTCTCTAGAACGTTCACCTAGACTCCTAGGTGATGTTTCTCTAGTAAGAGGTTGTGTGAAGGTGATGGTTGCCTTAGAGTGAGAGTAAATGAATTCACTAAAACGGCTTTGACCTCACGAGAACCCCTCCTTTCTCAATGGTCAAATGGAATTTACTGGACACCTGGGAGCCGCCTCCTTGGAGAAGCTCAGGGGTGATAAGCTGTGTGTGCGGACCCTGGGCCTCCCGTCCTTTATGCATGTGCTTTGCTCGACTCCTGTGAGGGGGCACGTGGGGGTGGTGTCTGCACCTGCACCTCCCAGGGCTCGTCCCCCCTCTGCCCCAGCCCCACCCCTGCCCCAGCCCAGGCCCTCAGTCTCCCCACTGTCAGTCACCAGGAGTGAGCGCTGACGTTGTGCTGGGCACAGACAGGACAGTGGCTGCCCTCTTGAGGAGGGTCAGTGAACACAGGAGCCACGGAGCGGCCAAGACGATGGGTCTGTGAGTAAGGAAGACTGGGCCGTTCATTTAGGGAGGCTGGGCCTCTCTGCACGAGGAGGAAGAATGTTCGAGGCAGAAGGAGCAAGTGCAAAGGCCCCACAACAGAAGCGAGCTGGGTGGGTTCTGGGCCAGCAGGGAGGCGGGGGCTGGCGTGAAGCGAAGGAGTGGAGGGAGGTGACTTTGGGGTGGGGCAGGGGCTGTTCACATAGGGCCTTGGGGTCCCTCGTAAGGTGGCAGGTGGGTAGATTTAATCCCAAGTAAACTCAGAGGCCATTGCAGTTTGAGCGAAGCGGTGTCATCATCTGACTTACTCTAGAAGTTTCTCTCTGGCTGCTGGGGGAAAGTGGACCGTGGGGTCGAGGGTGGAGGAGGCTGGGAGCCAAGTGAGGAGGCTGCGGCGGTCACCTGACAAGAAGACCAGGGCGTCTTGGTAGGTGGTGAGAAGGGAGCCGAGGCAGCGTGAACAGTGGAGGCAGGGCCGCTCTGGGGAGTGGGTGGAGGAGGGAGGGGGAGTGCAGGGGGCTGCAGGTGAGGGCTGAGCCACCTGGTGGGTGAGGGCCCTTCTGAGGACAAGGAGGGGACGGGGAGGCTTGGCGGGCAGCAGAGGTGTTGTTGGGGTTGGAGCAGGGATTGGTGAAAACCAGTAGTTCTGCTTCCGCCCCCGTACGTGTGAGGCCCTGTTAGACCCCACATGGAGAATGTGGGTGGGAAGCTGGATCCAAAAGTCTGGGGTTCAGAGGAAGGCCAAGCTGAAGCTGTGAATTTGAGGGATGTCGCGTGGGGCCAGCCTTTGAGTCCTGAGACCAGAGGGGATTCTCTGGGGAGACGGCAGACGCAGGAGAGGTGGGCGAGGACTGGCCTCCCGTGGAGAGGCCTGAGAAGGAAGAGGAGCCGTGGGAGGCAGGGGACTGATGTGGGAGGGAGGTCTGGGGGAGGCTGGGGGCTGGGAGAAGGACGCGTGTCCTTCCAGGCTCACCCTCAGGGTCACTCTCCACGCAGCAGCCCGGGAGTCTCACTACAGCACAAACCTGACCACCTCATTCTTGGCCGAGAAACTTCCTGTCTCGTCCCATTATTCCCAGGAGGAATGTGAACCCTTGGCTGGGACCCAGGGCCCCTCACTAGCTGCCCTGCCGAACTCGCCAATGTCCCTGCACATGGCCCAGGGCCCTCATCTCCCTGTACCCGCTGGCTTGGTGCCAGGACAGCCGTGTGTTCCTACCTCCCCCCTTTGCTGTTGTTGCTCCCTCCACCTGGAGGGCCTCCTCCCCACCTGCCCGCCTCACCTCTGTGTCCTTCCCAGCCAGAGATGGGCACAGCTCATGCTCTCGGAGCGCTAAGGGCCTGCTTGATTGTTGTGCCGCTCCTATGGGTCCTGGTTGTCTGCTGGAATGTTCCCCCCGTTTCCCCTTCCATCCTCACTGAGGATGAGAGCAGGGACCCTGTCTGGACATTTCTGTGCTCCACCCTGCCAGGGCTGGCACAAGGCACGTGTCCAAGATACGTTTCTGTTGGAAACGAGAAAAGTACCATTGTGCCCATTTGGCAGAGGAGAAACCTGAGGCCCACGGAGCCAATAAGTTCCAGAACCTCGGGGCCAGCCCCGAGGCGTAGTGGTTAAGTGCGCGCTCTCCGCTGCCGGCGGCCCGGCGTTCGGATCCCGGACGTGCACCGACGCACCGCTTGTCAGGCCATGCTGTGGTGGTGTCCCACATAAAGTGGAGGAAGATCAACACGGATGTTAGCTCAGGGCCAGTCTTCCTCAGCAAAAAGAGGAAGATTGGCATGGATGTTAGCTCAGGGCTGATCTTCCTCACAAAAAAAAAAGAAAAAATATACCAGAACCTCTGGTTTGGTCTCCCACCTGGCTCAAACACAAATTGAATGGAATGCACATTAGACTCCACAACTCAATTTGTTTGGTGCCACGTGGAATAAAAGGCCGTTTGTCTTTCTGTCACTCATCTGATAAAGCTTGCAGAATAGCAGCACCCCTGTGGTGCCAACCTCTCTCCAGGGTCCCAACTCAGGAAAGGTCCCCAGTTTCCAGCCACTCAGAGCCCCAGGGCTGGTACAGGTGGGCGGTGTTGCCTGGTTTCCTTCACATGGGTCTACGAATGCCAAGCACAGCCACCACATGTGGAGGGTGGGAAGTTGGGGAGCAGTGGCCCCCACGTCCCAGTCTGGCCGGACATCTCCACAGAGGCCTTGGCTTCCCGCGCTGGCCTGAGAGGCTCTGGGCCCCAAGCCAGCCCAGTGCCCGGCTAACGGTCCTCCCAGCAGGCTGGCTCGGAGCTGGGGCTCCCGGGACAAGGCTGGGCATTGGGGATTGGGGACCAGGCTGCAGGACAGGTTCCCCCATCAGACAGCTCCATCCGGGTCCCGCTCAGCAGCCTCCGTGGGGCTGGGAGGCCCAGGGCCGGCCCAGCGGCCACAACACCCATGGACACAGCAGGCTTCCTTTCTCTCCCCGCACCCGATAGCCGCCTGCTGCCTTCAGGGCCCTCCTGTGTGGGGCCTGATGAGGAGTCCAGTACCAACTGCAGCCCGTCCTGCCAAGTCTCCGGATAAATATTTTTATGGAGGCTGAAATAGCTCCCTCCCTCGGGCTGGTTTTTGGTGGTAAAGCAGTTGGAGGAGGTACAGGGAACGGCCTGGGTCCAAGTCCTGGGACGTCACGTGGCCTGTGTGGCCCCAGTCTTCATCTGCCCAGAATAAGACTTGCCTTAGAAGTTGTTGCGAGGGCTGAAGAGTGCGCTGAGAAATAACAGTGTCGACCGCCTCAAGGGTGAACTTAGACTTCTGGGCTCTATCCCTCTGTTCCCTGAACATTCACTGGCTCACAGTCTGGAGGGGCTGACAGACCACGAACAGTTAACACGGACAAGACACGATCAGGGACGTTGTAGAAGCGCAAAGAGAGAGGAGCAGAGGGGACCTCAGAGGGGCGGTGCTGCAGGGGCGTCAGGCAGAGGGACCCGGCGTCAGGTAGAGGGACCCGGCACCAGGCACATCATGTGCTGGGGACCAGCAGGGTCGTCACGTCTAAGTGGGTGTTGCAGGGAGTGGGCAGGTGCCCAGGCTGTGCCCTGAGGGCAGCAGGGCAGGTAAGGGGTCAAGGAGGGCAGGGGCGTGGCGGATCAGCACGTTAGCACCTGCCCCGGCTGCAGGTGGAGAATGGAGCAGGGCAGGGGCGAGCGGACAGAGACCCCGGCCAGGCAGGGGCTGGGGGCCGGGGCTGGGGAGAAGCCCACGGTTCTCATGCCCCTGCCTGCTGCCCCCTCCCTGGCCAGGTGCACCTGATGAAGCCAGACACAGTCCCCAAGGCGTGCTGCGCGCCCACCAAGCTGAGCGCCACCTCCGTGCTCTACTACGACAGCAGCAACAACGTCATCCTGCGCAAGCACCGAAACATGGTGGTCCGGGCCTGCGGCTGCCACTGAGGGCCCCCCCACCGCCGCAGCGCTTCCCCCGGGATCGGGCCCCTGGCCAGAGGCAGGAGCCCTGCAAACCCAGCCAGCCGGAGGCAGGGTTGGCATGGGGGCCCTCAGACATCAACATGTCTGTGCCCTTCCCTCCTTCCGGTCAGGCTGGATCCTCTCCAGGCCCCTCTGCCTCCCTCCCCTGCCTGAGCTTGTGACAGACCTCTGGCCTCCAGTCCTGGTGTTCCGAGTCATCAAGCGGACTTCTACCCCAGCCCCCTCCCCCCAGAGGCACGTGCTGACTAGCTTTTTGGGGTTGGCACAAAAGTCCTGTCTGAGGACCTGTCCATGTCCATTGCTGGCCTAGGCTGTGGGCAGATGTGGGATGAACTGAGAGCACCTGGAGCCCAAGATGGCCCCCTCAGGCCCTTCACTACCCATTACAGGGTTTGCGGATGTGTAGATAGGGTCTGGGCCACCTCTGGTTGCCTGCCCTTCCCAGGTGCAAAACTGGGCATTTCTTGGTACTTCTGTTGGAGAGCGTGGAATTACCCTCAATGTTCTGTATTTGCGGATCTGAATTACCAAACTGCTGACCACAGGGGAGGCATGTGGGTCAACTCAAGAAAGAGCTGAATGAACTACAAGATTTAGGCCAATGGCATTTATCTTCCCCTGTCATCCCGCCTTGATCTGCCTCTGCTGCCTGGGGCAGACGTGCAGTGCACGGACATTTTGCCTTTGGAGAAAAAAGATCTCGGAGAATTCATCGACCTGTCTACCTGTCACCATGTTGAACTGTCAGGAGCTCAGCTCTGTTGAAAAGTTATCTTTTTGTGGAGCCAAGGACAGCGGATGCAATGGGTGGCCCCAGATGACAGTGGCCAGCACAGATGACATAATTTCCCTTGCCCTTCTGCATGGCAGACATCAATAATCAACCCTGATATTTTTTCTTCCAATCTGGACAGAATTTCAAAATGATCAGCACAGAACTCCAGGCAGCCACTGCTAACAGACTAGATTTGGCATATGAAGTGAAAACTGTTTGCCATCTCCTGCTAAGGAGCAATCCATTCCACCAACAGCAATGCATCTGTGACCCTGGGCAGCCTGTGGCCAGGTGTGGGGCGAGGGCAGGGGCTTGTCAGCACCTGCTTGTGTCCAAAGTTGTCAAAGACAGGCTGGTGACCAAAGTTTGTGTCACCCTGTGTGCCCAGGAGCCCTGTCCTGTTTCTTGGGGCCTGGGAGCCAAAGAAAAGGCCCCTGTCCCAGGGGAGCAACAGGCAGTAATTAGGCTGAGCTGGGTGGGGAGGTTCCCGGAAACCACTGTTCTCCTTGGAGCAGCCGCTGGCAGTTGGTGTTTATTTGATTTCTGACTTGTTAAGCCTGTAATTTACCTGCTGGAGCAGACAGAGTCCAGCTGCCCAAACCCTGAAATACTGTGTCATTTAAAGCAGATCTTGGGCCCGCCCTAACCCACAGGCACAGCCCAGCTGAGGCCATGTGTCCAAGGATGCGCATCTCTGGAATTCACTCTGCACCCTGAGGAGGGGCTCCGGAAAAGCAGGGCTGGCAGCAGGGGTGCAGGCTGGGGCCACACTGCGGGACAGCAGCCCCTCTACCTGGACCCAGAATATCAGGAGACCCGTATTCTGGCTGCAGCTCAGCCACTGACTGACTTGGTGCCTGGAGAAGTCCCTTTTCTGATTGAGGCTTGTTTCCCATCTGTGACATGAAAACATGGGACCTCTTCATCTCCAAAGGCCCTTCCAGCCAGAGAATGCCTGCCACCCTGACCCGTTCCTCTCGCACAGAGTCAGGACATGGCCTAAGCACCCGGCTGCCGTAGGACACGAAACCCACCATTTCAGGGCCTATTTAACAGCTTTCTTCTCCCAACATCAAGGGCAGTGGAGGCTGGGAAACTTCTGACAAATGTCAGCGTTTGGTCTCTTCAATGCCTAGCACATAACCTGGCATGGCTTGGGGGCGCCAGGAAAGTTTGTGAAATGAAGGTATTGAAGATGTGGACTGCTTGCCCATCGGATGCGAAGAACAGGAATGTAAGGCTCGTGATATGACTCCCTTTTCATGTGGTCAAGCTGAAAGTACTGCGGTCATGGCCTTCCCGAGAGACTTCCAGCACCTTCAGCCAGCCAGGCGGTCACCAAATGAAATCAAATAGAAAGAGCCTCGGAGAAGGGAGGTAATTATGGACACAAAGCCAATGAGGTGGCAATGTTCAGTTTTCAAGGCCATCTTGTTTACCTGGATGCCTCTGGCAGCCCAGGTTACATTCAAGGCTACACATTAGAAGCAGAAATAAGGGCCATCAACTCAGGCCCACTGACAGCAAAGAAAATGCTGACAGGAAGGGAGAACACAAAGGAACAGCCAAGCCTGGGGCCATTCAGGGTGGGGCGAAGTGCTCTGTGCCTCAGTCACAGTTCAGTCCGGGCCCTGATGCCAGCTCATCAGGCAGAGAAACCCGTATGCTTTTGTGTCTCTATGTAGGGAAGTGGGTAACATGCTCCCAGAAATTCCCTACAATTTCACAGGAAAGTAGGCTGTGAACAGGAGAGGGTGGGTTTTGGAGCAAGCAGACCTGCTGGCATCAAATCCTGGCTCTGCCTCTTGTTAATCTGACCCAATTGTGTAACCTCTGAGCCTGCTCCTTCCTCTGTAGAATGGGTATTGGTTCTGCCTTCGCAAGGCCATCATGGGGATCAGATCTGTCCACAGAACATTCAGCACCGGGTCTGCACATGTGTGCTGAATGAATGGCATCCATTAGTGGTCTTATTTTAAATGAATTTATAAATTTGGGCCTCCTCTGTGTGCCTATTAAAAACCCACTCCTCCCAGAATGTGTCCAGGAGGTGCTGCTGTATTTACTTCAAAGCTGTACTTTTCCTAAAAAAATCTAAACTTGGTAATCTCTTGGGATGAGGCGTGGACTTGCATCCTCCCCCACCTGTGGAAGGAGTCCTGGCCAGCAGCTACCTGCAGTGGCCAGGGCCTCTGCTGAGGACGTGGCAGTGTTGTGCCCCTGCCCCTCCCACAGTGCTGCCAGCGAGTGCTGCACCCACCTGCAATCTCACAGGAAGCTGGTGGGGGAATTTTCTGGGGTTTCTCTTCTTACTAGGAAGACTTGAGCAAGCATTTGGCCAAATATTACATGTGTGCCGGGGAAATTTTTGAAAATAAAAAACAAACATGCATAATCCCAACACACAGAGATAACCATTGTCAATAATTCCTTCCCGTCTGTTTTCCTTGGCACATTATATATGTCTTTATATATAAATATGAATACTTTACAAAGTTAGGATCATACTCTGTACTGCTGGGTGATTTGATTTATTCAATCTATGATATATTTCAAAATTTTCTGTTATTAAACATTCTTTGAAAACATAACGTGTAGTAGCATTCCATCCCTTGACTTCTGCCTTAGTACTATCACTTACAAATCAGGTCTCACCTTTCTTTCCCCAGAGGGCAGGTGTGGGGCCCCCATGACCCTACCACCCCGAGCCCTGCCCAGCATCAGGAAGCCAGGCAGCCAGGTACTCAGGTCAAAGAGACAACACTTGCATAGACACCGGGCTGGCCATTAGTCTGGAATCCCTGGACCAGGCACCTCACCTCTGTGGCTCAGGTCACCACCCATACAAGGGTCATGGGTGGACCCAGTGGGGTAACTTCTGGGGAGGCCCTTGCACAGCACAGGGTGAGCTATCACCACCTGATGGTTCTCGCCCACTGGCCTCCTGGCCAGTCCACTGGTCCCACCTTCTCAATGCAACCAGGGAAGCACAGCAAGTGTCAAGGTCCCCCCACAACCTCGCCCCTTGTTCCACAGGGCTATGTGACCAGTCATCCCTCCTGGGGCCTCGGGCCAGCCTGCTCCCTCTCCCCACATCATCCCCAGAGCCAGCCATGCTGAGTACTTCACACACATCCTCTTCCCTCCTGGATGTCACACCAGCCCTGAGCAGCTGGCCTACTCCTGGCCTCACTGCTGCCTATCCTGACAGCTATGACTGACCACCAGTGAGAGGGACACCTAGGTTAGGAACGAGGGGCCCTGCTAGGAATACTGCAGGCAGTGGATTCCAGCCACAGGAGTGGGCCCCAGCCAACCAAAAAGGTAGAAGCCCCACCTGAAGGCAGAGACCCAGGCTGCCAGGGGTAGGGCTAGCATCCATCCCTCCATAGCAGCTGGCCTGGGGTCACTGGGGTCACTGGGGCCACGGGCCAGCAGGTTTCTCCCCTCCCTGCCAGGCTCAACCTGATCTCAACCCAAAACGAGAACCAGCCCAGCCCAGCAGTTTCTGAGTGTTGAGACTTGATCCAGGCAGAGCTACTGACAGGCGGCAGGGGAGCAGGTGCAGCCCTGGAGGAGGCCTCTGGTGACTGCTGGGGCTCAGCCTCAGCACATGAGAGATGCTGTGAGGTGGCCTGGTGAGCCAAATACCAGCGTAGGGCAAGGGACCAGCCCAGCACAAGCTACAAATTGTGGCGCCAGAGTTCGACTTCCAGGTGAGACTGGGGTAGGGAGGGGAGGTAGGAACCACCTCTGGCTCGTTTCTTACGTCTCCCCAGCACCAAGCATAGGCCTGGCAAAAGAAGGGCCTGGGCACTCTGCAGTAGTACATTGTGACTACTGGTTCAGCAAATGAGTAACATGGGAATGGGTCACTAAGACTCATTACGGGTACCCACTAGGCTCAAGACAAGCAGGCGTGAGGGCAGGAATGTAGCCTGGCTAACCCAACTCACCTACCTGGCAGCAGGAGAGACAGGAGACAAAGGTACTTGTGCACCAACTCTGACCTCTGCTGCCCTGCAGTGGTCCCACAAGGACATGCTTCTGGGACAGCCTGGGGAGGACGGAAGCAGCAGCAGGGGAGGTGCTCTGGTGTCTCACAGCTGGACGGCCCAGTCAGAGCTGCAACTTCCAAAAACACCTGGGACCTGGCTGGCAGGCAGCAGTACAAGAACTAGGATTTATTTTACAAGAAGCTTCCGGGAGCCACACTGGTGGGCCCAGGAGAGGCCCTGGC